CACAAAAGATCGAAGATCTTGGTTGGGAGAAAATTCCTCATTCACATTATTCTCCCGATCTTTCTCCTTCAGACTACCATTTGTTTCGTAGCTTACAGAATCATTTGGAAGAAACAGATTTTGTAACACAGGAAGAGGTTAAAACTAACATTTGTGAGTTATTCGAATCAAAGCCCAAAGAATTTTACAGTAATGGAATTAGTAAGCTTGTTATGGATGGAAGGAAGTCATAGATAATCAGGGAAAATACATTGTTGATTGAATCTGTAATTAAGTGTAACATTTGGTCACTTGTTTTCTTTATTCAAAATTCGGACAGAACCTATGGGATGACCTGATATATATATATATATATATATATATATATATATATGTGTGTCTCTCTCTATATATGCCGCTCTCTCTCTCTCTATATATATATATATATATATATATATATATATATATATTCCCCCCTAGCAAGGCGGGAAGCAAGGGGTTACAGAAAGTTTAGAGCAAGATCAGATAGGAGTGATAGAAGAAAGGATGAGGGTAGTGGATAGATCAAGGCAACTGGAGATGTCGATTGACATTACACTTGAATAGCTGGAGATTATAGCTCACCGGGAAACTGGAATAGGGAAGGGAGTTCCACAGGCGAGAGGTGCGAGACATGAAACTATTGGAGTAAAAGAGACGGCTACATTTAGGAGTGAAGCGGTGAGAGCGGGATGCCAGCCTCGTAGGCGCTTGAACTCATGAAGTCTGGGAACCAGCGAATGCAGCTCCTCGGAGCAATTTCCATGAAAGTATTTGTAAAACAGACAGAGACGCCAGAGCAGGGCCAACTACATTGCCTATCTGCCTCTGGAGCCTATCAAGAACCCCGAGGCAAACAGAAGGGGCACCTGACTATATATAGTGCCTCTCTATCTAAATATGTATTGAAACGAGTACAGTTTGCCGACTCAGGGACGGATACTGGGGATCTAGAGACAGCAATACAGGATGAACAGTGTAGAAAGGGATTGCCAATGGAATTCCGACCATTCATAGGGAGGTCGATAGATGAAAATCAATAGAGTTTAGTTATCGCGAAAGCATCCCCTTGGGAGTCGGTTCCACAAACCAGAGGTCCTGTACAAAGCAGCGGAACCTGATTCGCTTTACATCTCCTTAATCTTTTCATTCACTCTTCACTAATCCTATTCCCCGGGATTTCATTCTTCCTTCACATCCTAAATCTATTTCCATCGCTATCGCATTCATCTTTGTTTCTCATTTTAATATACACTGACCTGTGAACTCCAAGTTGGCTTTGAATTTCGACCTTTGGCTCCAATGGGAAGTGTTTTAACCGTGGAAAAAAAGTGCAATACTGAATTCCGAAGGCGCATTGCAATAAAGAAAGATGCCTTCCAAAATCTAAGCAAAGTATTAAGAAACAGGAAAATTGTATTAGAAAGAAAGAAAATAATATTAAAATGCTAAGTAATATCAATCTAAATATCTACGAAAACATATATCACTGTAATTCGAAGATGCATTGGAATAGCGAACTATGCCTTCCTAAAGCTAAGCAAAGTATTACGAAACAGGAAAATTTCATTAGAAAGAAAGAAAATAATATTAAACTACTAAGTAATATCAATCTAAATATTCAGGAAAACATATAACACTGAAATTGGAAGACGCATTGGAATAGGGAACTATGCCTTACAAAAGCTAAGCATAGTATTAAGAAACAGGAAAATTTCGTTAGAAAAAAGAAAATAATATTAAACTGCTAAGTAATATCAATCTAAATATCTACGAAAACATATATCACTGAAATCGGAAGAAGCGGTGGAATAGCGAACTATGCCTTCCTAAAGCTAAGTAAAGTATTAACAAACAGGAAAATTTCGTTAGAATGAAAGAAAATGATATTAAACGAAAGAAAAGAATGTAAAAGTCGGAGAAAAGATAGAAAGGATAGAAAAAAGAAAGGGAACACGGGGAGAAAGGATTAAGAAACAAAAGAAATAAATATGGCGACAAAGATGGCGACAAATATGGCGACAAAGATGAGGACAATAGTCCGACTAATGGAAATACTGAAACAAAAGAAGTTCAATATCTGTTTATATCTATGAGAGTATTATGATTACTTGCATTATTTTCATTATTCGGAATGTTATACTCATCTTCATAGCCTTATTCACAATGTTTCGGTCGTAGTACACGCCGGCCTTCTTCAGGTGATTAGAATTTCGGATCCAAACACCTGAAGAAGACCGGAGCGTACAACGGCCGAAACATTGTAAATATGGCAATGGAGATGAGGATAACACTCCGAATAATGGAAATAATGCAAGTAAAAGAAGTTCGTTAGAAACAAAGAAAAGAGCACTGGACTATTATGAAATATTTGTCCTCCTATGTAGCAGTGAATACTGAACCATCTCGTCACAGATGAAGAAGGGACTTGAAGCAACAGAAACATGGTTCTACAGAAGGATGTTGAGATTGTAATGAAGCG